CCTCTTTACCAGAGGATTCAGATCAGCAATGAAACCTAGCAAATCTCATAATGACTCTTTCCAGGGAAATATCGGGACTGAGAATGAAGGTGGCCCATCAGAACAGTGGTAAGATTTACTGCCAGTCCTTCAAACATGGGGGCTTAGGTACTGGAACAGACTGTTAAAAATTTAAAGTTCTCGGGCGGTGGAGGCATCCATGTTGGTCTTCTGGGTTGTAAAGCCGAGCGGACTTGTAGGTAGATACAAATGTTTGTAACAAACGTACTGCCACCATCTTCAAAACAGACAATTATCATTGCTGAATAACATAACCAACACAAATCAAGAAATTTTCAGTCGTCTCAATGTCAGACAACATTCCCAGCAACATGCAGCGTAGATTTACTATCGTAAGAAGAAAATTTGCTCTCTTGCCATCGTTTTTTCGTCTTCTGACACAAATTTCTTCCTTCTACTTGGCCTGTTTCAAATGGTCGGGAAAAGGAATGCACCCCGATCTGAAACACGTCAGTGAGCGCCTCTTCGACTCGGAGCGTGGTCGAGACGAACGAGGGAAGACGAGCCGCTAGTCGGGCGAAGCAATGGGCTGAGAAAAAAAGGCAGAGAGAAGTGAAGAAGAATTCCTAGCAGCCAGGAAGAAGGAGGCGTGACTTGACTTAAAAACTTTGCCCTGTTCTTCAAGTGATGCACGGCACAGAAATTCAAATTTGCACTGTATTTTAAAACAATGTGTTGCCAACAGGGGCAGGGTTGCATACAACACTACACAGTCTCTCTGACAAAATTACCAAATCCGAAACCCGATGCTCTTATCACAAGTGAGATATGAACATATATGACAGGCATTAAAGGTAATTTGTCTCTACGAGACATGACAATAACTAATTGGGGGTGGGGAGGAGTTGCCACACGGACCGACGAGTGATATTTTGCTGCATTAATTTGATATTATATTCGTTAAAATTAAATAACAGAATCTCACAGAATCAACATAAATAAGAAGTCAGTAGACTATATTATAGGGATACGTGGCGAAGTTCACATTCATGAAAAGATAGAGACTATATTCGGGGGACATTGGCTACGATTTAGTTCAGAAAACTTGATCATATCGTATTGCTTCAAAACGCAAACTAAAATATGTAGTGCTACAATGTCACAAGTATCTTCTTACATGTAATTATATATGAGTGCCATATTTAGTATTTATGTTATACGTGTTTAGGTAGCAGACAGCAATATAGATTCTGAAGGTAGTTACAGTACTTCTACTCTAACTTTCTCTTAATCAACGTTTTAATTTGGCATCGGCTCTTTCTATATGTTTAAAATTTGCTAAATGTGAATAATTCGCCACTTAAACTTGTTTCAATTCACTGAGTATGAATTACTCTATCGAATATTATATCGACTGCATGCGTTAAATTAATTTATATGTTATATTAACAAGGTCAGTTACTTGGATACTGCACAAATTGTAAGTATAACTACTTCGTAATTCCTTTGATTCTGCATAGCTAATATGGACAGTGAATAATTGTTCTGACAGGGCTGTATCAATATTAATTATGTCTTTAATTATTGCACATGCATTAGTTAGATTCTCGGATTCTGTGTGAATAGTAAAAAACTACCTTCAAGCAAATGTAACATTGTCTGAAAGGAGAAATCTCCCTTAGCCAACCCCTATAATTCAGTTTAATGAATGTGCAGGGGTTAAACATACTGACAAGTGCGCCACAAGTCGAGTTAGTTCGGGCAGTTGTTAACGTCATATTCTGCTGCGAACCCATTTTAAACACTTGTACTCCTGTCACGTAGTTGACGTGCATCGCCACAACCTCATGGCTACGCAGTTGATCGTGTCGTAAAGCAAAGACCACCCGCCAAGATATCTTAGATCCTGACCTGGTAAATGAATGCGAAACTCGTGACACTGACATATTCCTTCGTAGCTCTGCCACTGCAATTTATAGCACCAGTAATACACTTTAGTGGAACGACGTAACTACAAAGAACGCACAATATAAAGGCAATGCGGCCGGGGTATCGCAGTCAGCTGACTGTTAAGGTTTGGAACAACAAACAAAGGGGTTTGATTCTCGGTAGGACAAAGATTTTATTCTAAACTCAGTATTTAATTTGGAAGATTAATTATTCATAAAGCTTATCATTCAAGAATTCGTTAAGTTATTACGCAAAGATATGTTTATACGTAACACAAAGTGTTTGTATTGCAACAGACTACATTTTCTATACTGCCTTACTTACGGAAACGTTTGCTAGAGTACACGATGCAACAGCCCAACCTAAAGGTTCATTATCGTGTTCACAAAAGCCCGTTACTGGGCCCTATCCTGACCCAGATTAATGTATTCCATAGCACCTCATCCTATTTCTCCAAGTTTCATTTTAAAATTACCCTCCCACTTACGTCTGGGTCGTCCTAGTGGTCTCTAAACGAACTATTTTTAATCCGGAGATTATGTTTTAGATTGTGCTTAAAACAGTACACGTGCAAGATTTTATATAACTTTTACACACTATTTTCAAACTTCTATGTGTTCAAATAACATTTTAACAAATAAACTTAATTTACAGAAAACGTTGTTGAGAAGCTTGTAATCGCCCAGATAGTCGAGACATTCCTCGCCCTTACTGGATGTTTCATTACCGTGTTCATGGGGACCCCTCACCGGTCACTGTCCTGAGCCAAATATATACGAGTACCTTCAATCTAAAGACGCGTGTTGCATGTCTCGGGTTCCAAGCGCGGGCGATCCTTGATTGAGGGGATGATGTTCAGATCCACAGCAGAGCTCATCTGTGATCAGAGTACGAGCTCCACTGAGCTGTTCTTTGTTACAACGCGCATCGCTCATGAGGTTGGTGCTGGTGACACCCTTTCTTATGTCGCATCATTATTAAACGGCATGTTGAAGATTGTGCACAAGCAACGAGACCAAGTTCTTCTTCATCACATAACCGACAACGACCAATCACAGAGAACAAGAAAACCACACGATTAAGGCTTCAGTTGGATCCTGTGTAACTTAACGATTGATAGCTTGTTCGTGGTAAAAAGAGGCTTTAAAAAAGTTTAGGAATACATTACAGAGAAACTAACTACAGCCAGACTTCTACTGCGCATTAGAAATTTTAATCAGGTCATTTTGAACCCTTTCGTCAGAACAAGCGATCTTCACCTTTTAAAGCAGATAGAGCAAAATATAATGAAGTACAGGAATCAAGAATGTAAACACTTCAAAATAAAAGTAATTTCGCCCTTCAAAATGTATCATAGCGGGTCTAACTCTTTCGTATGTTTAAAGTGCTCAGTAAATATTACGGGGATGGGGGGTGGGGGTGGAATTTGTGCCAGTGTTTTAACCTCCAAGATGAATTTCATGCTAATGTGGATCTTGAACAAAAATTACGTTAAATGACAAGGAGAATGAAATCGACGGCGCTTGGGAGAGTTAAGAAATATCAATTTTAGTCAAAAACATAAAATGAACAGATCACTTCGAACATTTATCGATTGTTACGGGAATAATATTAAAACGTATTTCAAAGAAATAAGATGTAAAATTGTACATTGGACTGATTATGTCCAGTATAGGATTCGGTAGAGTAATTTTGTGAACACAGTAATGATACTGATTTAAACAAAACGCTTTAATTCCAGTTTAATATTCAACATTTCCACAAAAGATTTTTAGTAATTTTACTAACCTACTCCAGGCAAATACTATGACAGTGTTTTAAAATAGGCCACAGCCATTTTCTTCTACGTTGTTTCCACATAACCAGTCGCAATTATCCCATCATTTTGCGCTGCACAGCAGAACGTAGGCCTATATGAACTCCTTATCAGTCACTCAGTAAAGATAAAGAATATGTGTCTGCTCTTTTCTAGGTTCAAACTGGTACACATATTAGCGGCTGCAAATAATTTGTTGTTCCTGGAAGTGTATAAATTTAACGGACAGTCTGTGTCTGAAATTCTACTGTAACGAACAGTCGCTTTGAATTATGCATGTGTAGTAAGCTTCAGGACTATAATGAACTCAGATAAACAAGGGGGAAGAGGGAGGTACGTGGCAGAGAAGCGTTCTGCAAGAAAATCCAGTCTTCCACTTTAAAGAAACTTCTGTGGGCAAGGTGAAAGCCAGAGGACAACTAAGAAGAACAAACTTTCCCACCCAAAGTAACTCCATCGGCCTATAACAATAACTTTCTCATATAAAATATGGATAAAATATTGGTGGAAGAGCCTCTCTCACCTTCTTCCTTTCCGAAACTTTATCGAAGAATTCAGACCACCTCCACTGCTCCTTTCCATAAAAGGGATCACTATTATATGAAGCGGACCTCTCTTCTACCTAGCAGTCTCGGAAACATGAGAAATAAATTACGTCTAAGCATTTGTTCTGCATGTATGTCATACTAATAGCACACATTTTCATTTTTTGGTTATTTTAACTTTTATCGCACGATACCACTAAACTGCGAAGTCTGTGCCTGCACACGACAACTCAAACTACAAAAGTGGCAAAAGATTGCTGTTTTATTTACTAACTTTTCTGAAAAATTGTAAGATATCGCCTTTAGGCGAGTGGCTGGAAATCAAATGTTGAAATTATTTAACAGCTTTCTTTGACGTTAGGGTCTACTCCGTTGTATCAATTTATATAATAATTAAATGTTAATAGACCATCGAAGACAACCAAGTCTAATATATGAACCAAAATTAAACACACCCGACAGTCTTTCGTGAAGATTCTTAATACCAAACATCGAATAAATCTGCAAAAAATAGTTCCGAATACGGACATATGAACATATTCACTCCCAACTTAGAAGTTTATTTCAATTTTTTATCTCCTGGTTTTCTGATGCCGTGAGGTCAGCACATATTACTTTGCACTGATTAATTCAATGCATTTTCAAGTTATCCGGACATTTTAATTTGATATAAAAAATTGTGTACTCACCGCCTCAGTGTGTATGGGGTGCGCAGCGAAGAGGACTCCCGCAGCCCCGGCGAAGTTTGGCTGAAGTCCGGCGACAGCAAGGGTCACGCGTGTGAACAGCAAAGACGCAGCAGCGTGCAGGAATACATTGCACACGTGAAACCAAAGAGGCTGCAGCCCCGACACCTGGTAGTTAGCTCTGGAAACAGTAAATACATTTTTAAGCGGCTCTCTTCCCATGAGATTAAGGTATAAATATCTACAAGTTTGCCTGTTGATTCATATGATCAATAAAACTTGGTCTTTCAGCCTGCAGGCAATTCAGAATTTTAAAGTTTCAGTTCCGTTTGCTTATCTAATATTTAAATAAACATAATTTATATTATATGCCTTTATAATTATAACGAGTTGCTTGAGGATCGGAGTAAGGTCAAGTTCCGAAACGTCGAGTGCAACAGAAGATATATTTAGAATAACGTTTTGTCAGATTATTCTCCATAACTTTTGCAGATATAAATGTAAAGTAGCCCTGATGTGTTAATGTACAACATAAAGTGAATAAAATGTTTTTTGTCATTTCACTGCTTAATTAGTATAAACTTGCAACTGCAGAAAACATTACATAATTGTATGTTTTTTCAAAATAGAGAACATAATAAAGCTCCTCCTAGTATGTGTTCTCCTTATTTCTGATTTCTTCCTCAGATCTCTTAAGCAAAGTTCCACTGCATATTATTCGATCAAAAACTTCATAAATATCAACCAAATTTTCTTATTCCCCAAGACTTTCTTTTCTTCCTTGTTACAATAAAATTAGAAAGCCTTTACATTATGTTTTAAGTATATAATAGATGTAATATAAGTTTAAGGAATTTTCAATTATCTCTGAATGGTCGGGCACGAGGTCTCGTATATACTAAATAACGCCTGCATTATCTACCCTTTGTACGGAACTGTGAAGAAAGGTTAAGTTGAACTTTTTATACAGAAAATAATTCTTATATACATGTATATAAAACACGTAAGGACCCACCCCTGCATGTATAATACTGCCATATATCTCTAAGGGATGCATAGGCCTATACAGAGAAGCTTTCAGCAGTACAAGAAGCGAAGTGAAGCTAGGGGAATATTTGAACTAACTTGGTTCAGTCAGACTAACCGAAGCTGAGTGATGTCGTGGAACGAAGTTGTGTTACTTTATCTCCTGAAGGCAGACTACGTCACTCTCCTACTCCTCATTCTTTCCTGAATTTTATATATATATGTATGTTAGGGGTGGGAGGGATTGTGTACATATTTTCGTCTCTGCATTTCAAACTTTGTTTCCAATTTTTATCCCCTATCATCGAGGCAAATATTCTAAAAAATAGACTGTCTCCATCTTTTGTGTATACAACTTGTGATTTAAAAGCGTATGCTAACCTCCCTACTGAATTTCATACAGAGTTTCATTTTAAAACATAAAGCATTCCCTATATTTCATTAACGAATATAAGAATACGTGTAAATTACGGTCCATCATAGTCTATATTTTCACGTAAACTCTGAAACGTATTTACCCTATTCCTTCTGTAAATTACTTTGAAATAATCTACCTTCTTTCGGTAATGTAAAACAGTGTTAAAGTCCGTTGAAATTCAACGGGGAATGATTATCTTGGCATCTTAATGCCTGTCACTCTTACTTCCCTTTACCTCTTCGTATCTACATCGTCCTTTTTACCACATTCGTACCCCGTTATTTCATTTGTCCGTCCTATCGACATTCCTCTCCTACTTTCTTCATCTCTCCTGTATTTCTTTCCAGTTCCAGTATTGTAAATTTCTGCAAGACATCGGATGAATGCTGTTCAACAACTTACAGGAAAAGGTGTTTTATTTAATGGCTAAAAAAATTCCTCTCACTCGCATTTCATATTCTAGATTCTCTATGCTCAATCTTCCGTCCGTAAGCTACTTTTCCCTTTTTGTATTATATTCCTGTCTTCAAAAAACCACAATATCCATTACAGTGCCCTGCTTGTCTCTTTACTTTCATTGTAAAGTCTAGCTCCTTTGTACTGTATATATCCTTCCGCCTGTTTGGATAGAGAATGCATTTTGCATTGTGATGTCTCACCCATTAACACCGCTTCTTGTGTGCATTAATGCACGCATTGTCCTAGGACCTTCTTCTTGAACCAAATGCATCTCTCGCAGCCAATGAACAGCAATTTCATAGAATTACTTTAAGAATACACATTTGTACTGTTCTTTTTACTAAATTCCATGAGAAGTATATACTTTAACGAGTTTATATTTATTACAAAACTCAACACATTTTGAGCTTTTGTAGGAAGTGAAATTTCATTATCGTATTAAAAGAAACCGATATTCAAGGTCTAACACTATGAAGTTTATATTCTGACAACCTCTTTTCTCAATCGCTACTTAAACATTACACACACTTAGATCTACAAGCTGATCTTTATTTTGGCTTTCCGAACAAAGATCTAGAAGAATTGTCTCCGCACGCGTCGCTTACACAAAGCATCCTCATTTCATGTTCCTAAAACACTGGTAGTGATCACAATCGGCGAAACACACATTACAACATTTTCTTCATTTCTCATCTACTACGTCGTTCTTAATTCCAAATATTAATATTATTTTAAAGTTTTACAAGTTATTATTATAATAACAACAATAAAGTAATTTCTGATGCCAATACCTTATTATTCCGAGTATGACGAAGCAAATTCAAAATATATATTTTACTTTCACATTATTTCCGAGACTGACTGTACTTAAAGATTAGAGGACGCTTGAATAAGTGGATTTGCAGAGAAACAAAACACAAGTACAGAAACGTGTTGGAGGAGGCTTTGAATATTGCATACGTCTTGATAGCAGGCGCCTGTAAGAACGTAAACAAGGTACGAAGACAGGATGACATTTCAATGGTTTCCCTAGTAACGAAATCATTAGGACAAAAAACCTGCATATTTAATTCGTATTCTAGTAGGTGCTAGAAGTAGGTTCTGAGATGACAGACACAACTGTGTGCTGCTTCCACACGTTATCAACACAAGGCTGTTATATAATATAATGAGGCAGGCAGACGATCCAGATCGACAGATTTCAGATACGAAGAAAAGTAAGATTGATAGTTAAACATTCCCCCATTCGCAACTACTTTTTAGTAGTTATATTTCATATTTAACAATACGCTTCCACTGACACAATACACCAATATACACACATTCAGTATGGCGAATCAATAGAAAAAAAGCTTGTTTTTCGAACCAGGTCAAAGTACGAGCAGTAATCTACGTGTATAAGAATGTTATGGCACGTATTATCGTTCAAAAATCTGTGTACTTGTAACAATTACTATGTATAAGAAATGAGATGGTAAAGTTGCGTTATATTGTGCTATAAATATATATTATTTAAATCTTGTCCGTCTAATCACAATAAATTCTTATTAAATATTAAAATATTACAATAATTAACATTAACATGGTCTAATGTAAATCGAATATTTCGATAAAGAACATCATTTAATATTTTAAATATTTTAAATGTTAATTATTGTAATATTTTAATATTTAATAAGAATTTATTGTGATTAGACGGACAAGATTTAAATAATATATGTGTATAAGAAGTGTAGAAGTATTCGGCTCAGACGCGCAGAACTCTTTTCTGTAGAATTGGGAAGTAGGAAGGTTCCTGGTCGAGCTACACGCTTGCCAATATATCCAAGCACCTCCCCAGACCCATTAAGTTAGACGCCGAAGAAGATTTCCAAATGGTTGTTATTTCCTTGCATGCATGGCCGAGTCTCAAACACGATTCTGTTCCATGACAACGAAAACCTTCCGACGCAATGCAAACTTCACCCCGAACATTCCCGAGCCTATTTACATTCTGCATCCTCATTTCCCGAATCCAGACCGTGATACACTTGCTTCTCAACTACGCAAGGAACGTTCATGGACAAAGTTACTTGACTTAGGGAAGGGATAGAGAAATTTTGGCTGCAATGAGGTGCAATATTGACTCACGCGCTTATATACTTACAAAAAAAGATCACTGCTTTACTTACTTTACACCAGACTCCGCTAAGAACTTCAGGATATCGGATAAACTCCTTAGTTTCCTATTTAATTCCAATACAATGTAGTGCATTGGGTTAACCTCTTTCCTTCGAGGCAGAAGTGTTTCTTGGATGTTAATTAAATCACTTTGTCTTGTTTTATATTTAGGTGAGTTGCCAAGGCAGACGTAATGCTGCTAGTTAAATACCTAAATGATTTAACAAATCACCTCTCCAACGTCACTATTATTGGTGCAGGGAAGGATAAACAGATCAGTTAATGCTTTTTAAACCTTTGTTATATCAGTTCTATTCTCTCAAACACCAATTTATCTTACTCCAGGTTTCGACCTCTTTGCGTTTTCCCATATCCCTCTCCTTTTCTCGTACCAATGGCTGTCACCCCCTTTATTCAAATTCCTTCTCAGTCCGTAACATGCGTCTTGTAAGTAGCGTAATTGTTTTCTTCCCCTTTCATCTATTATCGCACATTATTTTATTTGTAGAGTACCCTATGGTTCAACAACACAAACTTAGATAAATATTACATCTTTCATCTGTCGTACAAGGAGAACTCTGAAGACTACTGACATACAGTTGTCATAATTTATTTTCGACGTCTCCGTGGTGCTCCGGAAAACATTTGGTGCTTGGTAACATTGATTTAAATCAAATATAGTCTAATTTGTATCGATTTAAGTCAAATATTAATATGTATTGACTTAAGCCCTTCTTGGCAAACATAAAAAACACAATCGGAAATTATAAAATAATTGTTAAGGGAATTCATTAAAATGTATCAAAGTTCAAATTTGAGAATCTAAGAAACGTAACAGTTAATAAAATACAATAGATCGAATATAATTACATTATGGTGAATTAATAACGTGGATTTTTATCACGAGAATAATGAAACAAAAATAAAAACAGTTTTGTTTAATATAAAATACGTAATTTTACCATGAAAAATTTTATGCACATATCGCTCTAGTGTGTATCCAATGCACATGGTCAAATTAAATTAACATCAGTATGAAATTTATATAGTCTATTTTATCCAGTCTTTTTAGGCAGTGTGATTGAATCCCCATCAAGAGTAAAATTGGTTAGCAATTTTTATTCCGACCCCCTCATAAAATAAAAAAGTAATGTAATGACATTTTTCTTCATGG